GCGAGGCCGCTGCCGTGCCCTGGCTCCAGCACCCCGTCCCCGCGCCTGGCGACCCAGCACCCCGGAGCCGCGCCTCATAGGGCCCTACGGGAGCGCGCAGCCCCGCCCCCACGCCCCGCCCACGCCATGGACGGGCGGCCGTGCGGGCCAATGATGAGAGTCCTGGGATGCCGCACTGGCTCTGCCCCGCCCCGCCTGCGCGCGCAGCCCCGCCCCCGCCGCGCTCTTCTCGTTGGCCAATGGAGAGAGCCGCCGGGCACGCCGGCCAGGGATTGGCGGCGCCGGGACGCTGGGGGCGGGCGCGGCGCGCGGCGGCCGCGCGGGAGGTTCGGAGCGGACGGCTGGTCTGGTGGGAGCGGGAGCCATGGGAGACCTCGAGCTCGAGCTGGGCGGTGCCCAGGACGACTTCCACAGCCAGTTCGCGGACGAGCTGGAGGTGCTGGCGGAGCTGGAAGGTGGGCGCGGGCCCTGCCGCAGCCTCGTCCCCCGTAGTCCGGGAGGGCTGCCTGGAGGAGGGGAGGCGAGCGGGGGCCGCGAGGCTGGAGCGAGAAGGGTCCTCCGGCGCCGCCGGCCGCGGGAGCTCTTGCCTGTATGTGGGGACGAGCCGACCTAGCGCAGCTGCTGTCATCTTTCTCTCCTGGCAGGGACGGCGGCCCTGTCATCCCCCAGGGACCCCTGGCCCACGGTGGGCCGGTCCCGGCTGACGTCCGAGGAGGCCGTTGCTGGAGGCGACGCTGCCACTCCTTGCTCTCCAGGTGGACGTCCAGGAAACCACAATGGCAGTGCGACGAAGAGGCAGCTGGCCGACCACGTCCCGAGGGACACGGCTTTGCCCCCCAGTATGTCCGCAGGGGCCCAGGGCCCAGGGCTGGGGTGTGAGGATGGGGAAGAGCCTCTGTTCCTTCCGTCTCCCTCTCCAGCCCCCAGGGTCAAACGGCTTAGGCTGGAAGTCGTCAAGAAGCTGAACTTCAGGCCCGAGGAGATGGAAGAGCCGCCCCTTCCTGACTCCCCTGCCAGGGGCATCACCCCCCCACCGAGTCCCGAGGTCCCCACTGAGCTGTGGGGCAAGGGGTGTGTGGCTGGGGGCACAGGTGTCCCAGGGATTGTGGAAGGATCCTGGGTTTCCGGAGGCCTGGGGGTGGGTGGGAGGGATGTATAGTTGAGTGGATCTGGGTTCCTCCGATGGTAGCAGGAGGGGTGAGTCCCCAAGACAGTCCCTGTCCCTTCCCAGGCTCTTGGATGCTGGTGCTGATGTGGGTCTCCTGCAGGCCTCGCCAGCAGCCCGAAATCCCGTCCTGAGGCGGCCCCCTGTCCTGGAGGACTATGTCAGTGTGACCTCCATGGGTGGCTGCCGGGCTTTTCTGGTCCTGCGGGCTGACCCAGTGGGCACAGGGGTGCAGGTGGGTGCTGTGTGGCCATAAGGGGGTGGGGGGCTCAGTGCTGCCCAGGAGAGTCCTAGACCTCATGTCCCCACTGGGACCCTGGGCACCCCTCAGGAAGTTCACCTGGCTTGCCTCCCTTTTCCTTTCGTATCTTTTTCTTTTTTTAAACATTTTATTTATTTACTTGAAAGAGAGA